GAGAGACAGAGAAGAGACAGACGCAGGAGGAACGGACAGAGGAGAAGGCGGAGGACAGAGGAGAGGAGGGGACAGAGGAGAGACGAGAGAGGAAAGAATGCGGAGACGAGGGGAGAACAGGGGAAGGAGAGACGAAGACATAACAGATGAGACAGTGATGGAGATAGCCGTAAGGCTTGGATTCGTGATGATAGGTAGCTGGGTTGCGTTGATTGGATAGGTAAGTGGTTCGTTGATGAGATAGGTAAGATCGGAGGATTCGTTGTGAGTAGGTAGCTGGGTTCGTTGATGGATAGGTAAGCTGGGGAGCGAGGCGGCAGCTGGGTTCGCGTTCTGATGGATAGTAAGGCTAGGGATTCGTTGATGGAGAGGGTAGGCTAGGTGTCGTTGATGAGGATAGGGTAAGTGGGTTTGTAATAGACAGGAGTAAGCACGGTGTCGTTAATGAGACAGGTAGTGACGGCGGGAGGGAAAGACAGAGAGAGAGAGAGAGAGAGAGAGAGAGAGAGAGAGAGAGAGAGAGAGTTAGAAAGTTAGAAGCCGAGGAGACGAAAGCGAGAGAACATGTTCTAATTTCGCAACCAGTTGCACGCGAGAATTTTACGTTTACACTGCCGATTTCCGGTCGAATAATTGAACAATTTATTAGCTCGTCAATTTTCCAGCAAAACGTTGATAGTGTAAACCCAGCTTAACGCTGCATCCAGCTACAACTATTATATAGTTAATAGTTATCATATCTTATATATCTTATATAAGATATGATCTATATCTTATATATCTTATATAATCAAATATTATATTATAGTTAATCCATGTTTCTTGTTCCGTGCCCGATTCAGATCTTGTAACAAGAGACGTAGCGCAACTAAATTGTTGTCTTTTAATGAACGTGTTTGTACTTGGAGAAGTAAATGTTAGAATTCAGAAGTGAATTGAGTATAGCTCGAACAATCCAGAGTGTTTGGAGTTTTTGTGGTATGACGCCGTGGAGCAGCATGTTGAGCGCGTGCGGTGCAGAAGAGTAGCAGACATAGTTTATATACAGATATATGAGAAAACACACGAAAACGATATTATCGGACACTGGACTAAAACTGGGAGCATTTGAACTAATGATTCACCTGCGGCTACTAGTAAACATCGAGATAATCAGCGGCGAATCCTGATGAAACGTTATCGATAACAACGATCATGTTTCGTTTCGTCATTTATGTGGTTCTTCCGTATATACATGCACATAATAATATCATATATTTTATAGCAGGTTCACCCAGTGGCGTCACAAGGGGATGCTGGGGGGTGCGGAACGTACCGGGTGACACCATCAGAGAGGGTGACGCCAAAATGACTGTCTATAAAATTTGTGTATCTCATGTAACGATTAAGTTTAATGCTAAAAATAAACACAGTTTTGATGTAGTTCTTAAACGCTTTTACTTCGAATTTTATTGTTTTCTTACCAAATTTTCATTTTAACCACATCAAACTATGTAAATATAAATACATTACGGTGGTGCGTATGATATTGTAATTTTAATTTCGCTAGTTGTTTATGTCACTACTATTACCATTACATTCATTGATATACAGGAATTACGATTTACGAGTAACATTAGTACAAAAAACATTACTAAGAATTCTGTATGGTCTGGTACGGAAGGAGGTACATGGGGGTGACACCATGAGTTACCGCAACGTGTGACACCAACCCTATAGTGACCCCGCTGGGTTCACCTATTAGTCATATCTATAATATCAATTATCATAATAATAATATATAATGTATGTCGCTGAAGGCTGGATATCATAGGCATGATCAGTTTCTTTTTACCCCGGTAGCCTTTCGTGTTGCACTACCATCCTAGCATCAGTTTCCTGACAGTCGACCTTAGTATGAATCGTTTGTTTAGTGATGCCATGTGAAGTTTGTTTAATAGATCTAGAGATGCCCGTATATTTTTTTCCTGGCCAGTCATTAATTATCTTCGTAATGTAGACAATTTTTATCCTGTCTGGAAATAACGTGCCATTACGAAAATGGAAAAAAATGATGAGGCGAGCCAATCATCTTTGTGCTTTTCGTCACTCTTTCCGCAAAGCTGCGTTTTTCTTGGTACCGGGTTGTTTGTTTCAGTTCCCAATAATAAACTAGGATTACAAATCGCTAAAATTTTTAGCTGCTACAAGTATGCAGAAGGCATACTTTTTAACCAAATTTCCTAGTATTAATTATCGCATGTCTATACGCCATATCTGAGCGGATACTGATAGGAATAGGGAAGGAACCATCGCGAAATTAAGCTAGGTGTCATTCGCGAGTTGGTAGCAGATTGTGAGGTTAGGATAGGCATTTCTAACATGGCACGATGAAATGTGAAAAGACCTACTTTGCCTAAAGTCAACACTGAGTTATGACGATCATATAATTATCGCATTATTATTATTAGCAACTGATTAGTAATATCGTAGCTAACTGAAGAACCTACTATAACAAATGTGATGTACTGACATGCATGCATAACATATTATGAATCCTATAAATGACAAAATAAAACATTTCCCGGCATGGGTGTCGATCGCAGGGGGGGGGGATATATCCCCCCCCAATATTTAAAGTGGGGGATGGCCTGTATTATTATCCCCCCAATATTTCAAGGTCAAATTAAAAAAAAAGTCGTAATATGTGCAGAGAAATCGATTACCTTATGATTTATTATGTCAAATTTGATCTTGAAATCGCATCACATTTTCTAATGATTAGATTTGGACAATTTGAGGAAGTTAAGCAGTAATAATCAAATACCCGGTAACCATTAAAATCCGCCATTATGGAAGTACAGTTTATTTGCCGCCTTAACCAAAATACGGATTTCCAAACAACGTCAAATTATGCACGTTTCATATACCGCAGCGCTGCCTTACATGGTTTTGATATTACGTTCTCATCAAAACATAGGTCTATACAAAACACGACGAATTATATTGTCAGATATAATCATTTTTTCAGAAGGGCGGTGACAAAAGACAAGAAATATACATGTAATTATGTTTTAATTTGTCTATATTTATATGAACTTATCATATGCGTCGATCGCTGCTCACAAGGGATTTTCGCTAACCCCCGTTTTGGGGAATAGAGATGAATTGTTATCAGGCCTGCCCCGATAGTTTGGAGGCAAGGACGCAATGTAATAATAATAAAGAAAAATCTCCATCAAAAGGCATCTAGTCATTACGAGCTCTCTCATCCCTTCTATACTTTCGTGTGAGAATGTATTTCTAAATACCTGACTTCACAAGAGATGTATTTCACCGATCAGTCATGTCAGTGCTTCTAGCAAAATCTCCAGACATATTCGCTTCTTGCTTCTTCATGAGTCATAATTTTAATTCTAGTATTCGTTTAGTATGCAGCTTAAATGATGTGCAATGGAGAGAGTCAAGATAAGAAAAGAGAAAAGAAGAGAAGAGAGGAGAGAGGAGAGAGAAGATACAAGAAACAAGTCAAAGTAAAGTGACAACTTGTGAATAAGACAAAGAGAAGAAATGAGACAATGAGATAATAATAGCAAAATAATAATGTAATAATGTTACATGGTGATTATTGTTGCTTGTTATCTTCGTAGTGAATTTGGACTACATTCAACTACCTAGAAAATCATTTTAAAATGCTCTAAAAAGTCCCTACTTTGAAAAAGTCCCTACTGTGTGAACGGGGGTATACCCCTCCCACACCCAACTCCGCTCGGTTCCTTCACTCCCTCGCCGAGGATCATCCCCCTCTCCCAATCATGAAAACAAATCGACACCTATGTTTCCCGGGCAACGCTGGCTGTCCTGCTAGTGTTAAATAACTACAGATTCATGCTTTATGCTCCGCTTGACACTTTTGCCAGCTCTATGATGCGAATTTTTACAAAGCAGTCCAATCACATTTCAAACACAAAAATGATCAACCGGTCACCATGGATACGCCACTTGACGGAATGTCACAATTACACGACAAGACCAACTTTACTTCTGATGCTTTCTAGACGTCCACGTGGCATCTAACTTGCGTGCATAATGTAAATTTCACCGGAAAAAAATGCCAAAAGGCTTTTTCTAGAGAACAAATAGTGCAACAATTTGCGGAGGTTTACTGTTGTATGGCTCCATTAGTTCAAATATATATATGCGCAATGCAGCACACATAATAACTTGGACAGTATAGCTCGCATGGTCATGCATGTAGCAGATTTTCGGTAAAGCCTAGATATCCTACAGAGAAAAACATCTTTTTATGACGAGAATATACTCGAGAACCATGCAGAGAAAATGCCAGCATTTTTAGCACCAACAGCGAACGCCACAGGAGCTTTCAATGACAGCAACCTCACAGTTAGTCAGTGGGACACAGTCGACGAAGATCGCAAACACGCGTATTTTACTAACACCTCGTCGCATGTAAAAGCGCTCATCCTGACAGTATTCGTGTTGTCTTCTCTACTCACAACGGTTGGCAATGGACTAGTGATGATCATCATAGCAAGGATTCAGCGACTGCGAACGGCAGCCAACCTCACGATCGCAAATCTGGCCTGCTGTGACTTTGTAATGGGCTGTACATTCTGGACAGCGGTGCTACGTCGTGAAACGATGCTGCAGTGCGCGGTTTTCTCGTGGTACGCTGTCACAACGACGTTAGTGTCGATGATGGGTCTTGCGCTCTTAACGATTAACCGATACGTGGCGATCGTGTATCCGTTACACTACTACCAGCTGATGCCTCCAGCACGCACTGGTGCTCTCATTGTGGCATGCTTCGTGTACTGCTTGGCAATTGGTGCTGCAGCTACCATCCAAGTATCATTTTTTTGGCAGCCGACCTCAATATGTGTCGTTGATCAAGTGTTGCCAGCCGGTTTTGTGTACTTTTTTGCCGGTCACTATTTTGTTATATTCATCCTTATGACTTACTGCTACACCGTCATTGCCAAGATCGCCTGGGCGCACACAAAAAGATTGGCGACGGCATCAGATGCGGAGAGACGGGAAATGACCGCTTTCCACGCGACGCTGAAGATGTCAAAGATCATACTTACCGTCGTCGGCACCTCAACTACTCTTCTCGCACCGCACCTGTTCCACATGATACTGAGCCACAGCGTTCCGTTTGAAAAGCTTCAAACGCTCCGGGTTATTCGAAGCAATGCGCTGATACTTAATTCACTTCTAAATCCTATCATTTACTTCTATAAGTACACAGACTTACGCCTAGCAGTAAGGCAACTATTTGGTTGCGCTACGTCTTCTGTTACACCATTTGAACCGGGCACGGAACAAGAAACTAATGGTTAACTAATCGTCAACTAATCGTTAACTACTCGTTAACTAATGGTTAACTAATGGTGGATGCAGTTGCATGCAGCGTTAGGCGGCATATAGGCTACTAGGATGCCCGCTATCGCAGCGTCACGGTACGAGATTTAACAGATGTCTTTTTCTTGGATATCACTACGTTGGATACTTCTTGGATTTTACTTGGATGGACCTAATCTCGTCACGCATCGCTGTATGCCGGTGTCGCCGTTGAACTATACTGTAATTTGTTTGGTTCACGAGTAGCTGTTACTAACAATGAATTTATGTGAATATTTTGTCTTATAGGTGTAACGGGCGCGAATTCGCTATTGTAGTAGAATAATTGTAGTCAGGTATATATTTGGATTTGAACAAGATTGACAGGTACAGTCAACTCTCTCAATACCGACCACCCTCGCGACCGTTAATTTAGCTTGGTCTTGTGTGAAGTTCATTTTATAGGGAGAACGTCTTACATGTCACAGATGGCGATGGGACTTCTTAAACTCGTCCGGTTTAACGTGCGATTCAGTTCTTAATGAGTCCGGAATTTGGAGAGTTGACTGCATAGTACATTTACTTATATAGTTACTCAGTTAGTTACATATTATTACATACGTTAACTACGTTAATAATAAGTAGTGGTAGTAATATGTTGTGGTAATATGTTGTGTAGTAGTATATGTGTTGTGTGTAGTGTCTGTAATGATTGATTATTCCTGTCGGTGTTTTCAGCATACACATGTCATGTTCTTTTCCCTAGACCTAGAATTTCCGTGTTTGTAAAGCGCTATATAACATCACGATTGATTACCCAAGTTTTTCGGCAAAGATTGAGGTTCTAGTATCGCTACATATAGATGTTGTTTTATCAATATCAATATCAATACCAATATCAATATCAATAT